TCTGATTTACCTTAGTAAAGCAGAACTGCTGGTAAGTTGTTTGGAATGGAGAGCTGTTGTCCCATTCTGTCTTTCCAAAGTATCAGTATAATAATGTCATACCTGAGTAGATTCCGAAGTGCTGCTATGCTACAAGTAGTTAGTGAAGCTGATACTTGTACTGTGAGAGTAAGAGGAGGAAAAAATTTTGATTCTACTGCAATGAGATGCTAAACATGGCAAATGGTCTTTTTAAAATACATGACAATTAAAAAATCTCTAGAACTTAAATTTCTCACCTATAAATTTAGGGTCTTTATTGTAAGGTAGTTAATTATATGTGAGCTAAATAGCAGGTAGAAAATATTAAAGGTTAGCTCTGCAGAGAGGTAAACTTCATACAGTACACCTGGATGAGTACATCATGGTAGCCCTGGTCAATATATGTTGCAGTAAGACAAAAGTGCTTTTTCTCAATTGATTTTGTTTGTTTTATTTTCTTTTTTCACTGAAGAAGGGCTTCTGTACTTTGCCCTCCAGTCAGGAAAAAAAACAATATAGCAGCTAAAGCAGGGCTTGGAATATTCATTTAGGTATTTTCACAAACCCTGGTTACCTTAAATGTTCAGAAGAGGAGACCTTCACGTTTATGAGGCAGACTGGACTGCTTCTAATAATCCTTATTAGATATTACATTGCAAAAACACAAGAGTTCTTGTGTCTATGGACAAAATTACTCCATAAATTGGTAAATATCTGGGAATATAATTTAGTTTGTCAAATCCCATCATAATCAGGCAATTCTACTGACAAAAACTAATGACACTTTGTTACGGCACCACAGCAAGAGCAAACTGTGGACAAAGCTGACTGAATAAAATTGTAATAAAAACCCAACCAAACAACAACAAGAAACCAGCATGCAGACGGTCCTATTAGTTTTCCATGCATCTGCTGTTAGAAATGGTATTTCTAGCCCTACAGGTTGTATTAGGAGCTGCCAGTATTGTAGCAATAGCTGCATTAGCTAATGTCTGAGGTGAAAACACAAATAGTGAGATTCTGTTTTCAGTTACAAGAGAAATCCAGAATTACTGTACAAAACTCACAGTTACTCTGAATTGTTTTTTAATGGAACCTTCAGGGGGGAGGGGAGGGGGGGAGGTGTTATGGAACTTACTGTCTAGCCCAGAGATTTAAATGTGGAAGTTAGCTTAAACTGGTAAATCTCTTCTGCTAGATACTTTGGCCTGTGAATTATCCTAGCTAAAATGTTGACTTAGCAATACTAGCATAACTTTGAACCTTTTCTGTACAACAACACATGGATTTTTTAAGGGACTCTACCTGAACATGTAAACATCTACTGGCTTAATTAAAGTTTTTATTTTAGTGTCTCATAGCCTTTTTAGTTTGAACCTATTTTAATTCACTGTTTCACAAGCTTCAAATTATCTCATCCCTGGCTAAAATCCTATGGTAACTTTGCAGGCCAGATGTTTGCAGTGCCAGTGTGTGTGTCATTTAGCCTTATGAAGTTTTCATCTTCAGAAAAGTGAGTAAATTTGAGTATCATAGCCTTACCTTTGTGGTCACGATGGCTATCAGTATACCTGCTTCTGTATCTTTATGAATAATGAGTTGTCTGTTTCACATTGAAAAAGATTATAAAAGTAGCAGCTTTTACTGCACTTCTGGTTTTTATCTTGAAATGTGTTACTTTTAGCTATAGCAGAGGAATTGGTATAATCTATGATAATTGCTGTAGTGTTCATATGGGGTGCCTGATATTCTTCCTCCACTTTTAAGTGTAGAATTAGTTCATTTAGTAGTCTTTTGGCAGCATTATTTGTAACATCAAGGAGCTCTAGTGGTCAAAGTCCAGCTGTGCTGTGAGCTTTATCATGTGTACAGTTATTATCCATATTTTAGTAATCCTAGAATCACAATTCAGGGTAAATTGACCATGTGAATTAAGGAGAAGGGGAAAAAAAACAATAGAAAACAAAACACACACAAAAAAACCCAAACCAAACTAAAAAAACAACAACAAAAAATAAACAAACCCCAAACCCCCAAAACCTCCCCCCAGACAAACAAACAAACAGGAAAACCAACAAAAAAAAAACAAAAACAACCCACCCAACACAGCAGGGGAAGTGACAAAAGCATTTTTGCATGGGAAAACTAATGTACTGTATCTGGGATTAATAAATATACCATGCAATACATCCATTTCTCCCTTCCAGCACTATTTATGCAAGTGTAGTTAGATTTCAAAACAATGAACTAATCTTTGTGACAGACAATCAGACTAGAATTAGCCCAATTCTCCTAGTGAAATTAATGAAAATTTTATCACTGACTTTGGTGGGAACAAAGTTAGATCAACCCTTAACCTTTGCCATAGCTGTCTACATATGAAAGTGATTGAGTTGCTGAGTTAACTGAACATTATTCAGTACTCCAGAGTGCAGTTCTCTAAGATGTCAACACTCCTTTGACAGCTAGCTATTAGAGTAAAGTTTCCAAGTCTGGTGTGTTAATCTGTCCCCTCTGAGATCAAACATTGCACCTTCTATAATAAGAATGACAACATCTTAACGGGCCAGATAGTTATCAGGGATGCTTGGAATCACTTCTGTGTTTTGTGCTGTATTTATCTCAGCCTTAAGCCCTCACATGCTATTTTAAAAGCAATGGAGAAATATTGAGAAAAAGGCTGTCAATCTTATTGAAGTTGGTCTCAGTTCATCAGAGTATTTTCCCAGCCTACGTAAGCCAGGTATTCAAAACACAATGTTGCACCAACTGAAGGAGACCTTGCCAGACCTGGAACAGTAGGTCAAAATCTGACCAACTATAAAGGCTTCAAGGGGTACTTGGTATTTTGAAGAGTTCTTACAGGTGTGTAGACATCCAGGTTAGTATGCCCAGTGCTCATGCTGTTATTGCAAACCTTCTGAAAAGTGGTACTTCGATATGCAGGAATTTTAAAACGAAAGGCAACTATTCCCCCCTTCTCCCCTGCACAATTTTTCTGTGACTCTGTCTGTGTGTAGGCATGTAGTATTTAGAATAATTTCATGATCCAGGAGCTTTAATTCTGATTTACTTTTTTTTTAACACCTTGAGATGGTTAGCCATTCTGTAACTCAGTGACTGGATGAACAATCTATACAAGCAGATTCCTCAGTGTTTATCCAATATATGTACATGTAGGAGTGGGTAAGTCTTCATGCATGCATATATAGATGGTTCATACACCCCTTTTCCCCTGAGGTAACTAATATGTGTACAGCTAGCAAAAAGAAAAAAAAATGCAAACCAAAAAACCCAAGGATATTTACTCCAATATATGCTTGGAGGTGCAGGAGTAGAGATATGAGTATGTGTTCAGTCACACACAAATCATGTCTCTGTACAATCACATACAGGTAAGACAGCAACCCATGCAATGGCATAGAGGTAGGTAATCAACTCATTAAGATATTGGCTTGTTACTTATTGCTAATAAATAGATTTTTAATATGCATCCTTATGTTTTTCCCAGTTTGTTGGAGTGTTGAGCTATGTGTCTGGGGTTCCCCTGTGTGTGTGCTGGGGAGGGACTCTTCATTAGGGACTGTAGAGACAGGACAAGGGGTAAAGGGTTAAAACTTAAACAGAGGCTGTTTAGATTGGATATAAGGAAGAAATTGTTTCCTGTTAGGGTGGTGAGGTACTGGAATGGGCTGCCCAGGGAGGTTGTGAATACTCCATCCCTGGCGGTGTTGAAGGCCAGGTTGGATGAAGCCTTTGGTGGCATGGTTTAATGTGAGGTGTCCCTGCCCATGGCAGGGGGGTTGGAACTAGATGATCCTAAGGTCCTTTCCAATCCTAACTATTCTATGATTCTGTGTAACAGGCAGGAGAAAAGAGGGTGGCTGCAATGATAGCCACTTAGTGCATGACGCTTCTGAGAGTGTTTGCAGGTAGAGGGTGTTTCCCACTCACTAATATACTGCTACTGTCAGGGGCAGGAATTTAGTAACAATAGAGTATTCCTTTGTGAAAACTTAGGAGAGTTGTTTACATCCACCATATTCACGTTAATGAAAATCTTACATCTGGCAAGGAAACACAAACGAACTTCAAAGCTTCGTGACCCAAATGAAATATTTGATGCAGAAGCAGACATTCTTTAATAAGACACTATCCTGACTCTCTGCTGCTGGGTCTTTGATGTTATAGGTTTGACAAGAGATAATCTGCTTTTAGGATTCAAGATCTGTTCTAAATCTGATTACAAGAGAAGTCAAGATAACAAAGTTTGAGTGATCTGTGCAGTAATTAATCTTCTATAGCAGACTTAATTGTGAAATTGTCTGTATTGTGAGTGTATGTATACGAATACTCTATGTAAAATGGATCTGTAAGCCAGACTGGTAGCTTCAGATTGTGAGTGCCATTGGTATTTATAAGGCTCCCATAAAAATACCTATGTCATTGGAGCTGCAGTAGTGCTGTGTCACTGGGGAATCACTGCATCATCCTTGTGAATCATCGTAATGACCAGTGTAATGAATGTGAAGTTAGCAGTTACTCTTTCCTATGAACTGCAGAAAAACTTCTGCACTCAGAGCCATTCAAATAGTCTGCAGCTTGAGCAAGGAGCCCAGTTATGCTTCATAGCACTGGCATTCAAATTGTAATCTTCCAAGGTTATCACTCCAATTCCTTTGCTTATCCATCAAATTTCTTTGCCAATCTGAAATGAAAAGGCATTTGATACCAGAGACTCCTGGCTCGGTATCTCACAAGCAGTTTTAGAGCTATTTGTCTTTGGGTCATTAATATTCCCGGGTTTTACTGTGATGATCTCACTTCCTGCAAACAGTAAAAATAGTGAGTTGAGAGTGAATTACAAAACACCCCCCACACAAATACAGCACTTGAAAAGTTGTTTTCCCCACTACTCCAGAGGAAAAAAAAAAGCTGTTTAGAATTAAATTCAATTGGTTTTATTTTCAGTGGTTTGAGACAGTTCTTATGTAACACACATTATACAAAGAATGTGATAATTTATCTTTGCAGAAATACAAATAAAACAAGGTATTAAAGCAGAAGGACATAAGAAATAGTGAATATTTAGATATGATAGATTCATCTCCAATTAGATTAATGGGGGGTTTCATAACTTTTTAATATTTTTTTTCCCCACTGTTTCTCCCTAAGCTTTTTCTCACAGGTTATTACTTCATGAATGACTGTGCCTCTTCTAGATCAAAATCTATGAATTTTTCAAATGCTCTTGCAAGTTCTGTAAAATAGTAGTAATAATAAAAAAGACTTTTTTCTCATTTAGCAACTATGAGGTAAGATCCTCACTGAAGTAAAGCTTGTGCAGCTGAGACTTAAGTAAATTATTCTTTCTCAGAGCTGTGGTGGACTCATAATTTTACAGCCCATGTTACTGAGTAAGAACTGTTCTCACTTTTGGCTGTATTCTCCTCGAATGCTATCTGATAAAACTCCTGGGTGAATGCTGGCAAGTTGTCACTTTCATCCATCACTGTTATCAGCAGCATAAGTGGATTGCTGTACAGCCTGTCACTGTTCCCAGCAAGAATCTGAATCTCACACTGATACAGTTCAAATTGATGGGGGGGGTGGGGGGGGGGGTGGTGTGTGTGTGTGGGGAAGTATGATTAATAAATAAAGTGTTTATTATTAATCTTGGTAGAATTTAGCATGAATATTTCCATTTATATGAAAACTGCTATGATCTTCAGTAGAGTTGTAATATTCAACTCCCTTTTAATGTTAAAAAAAAATATTTGGAAAAATAAGGATGTGTAGGACTGAAAGGGCCAAAGATTGTTAAAGTTCTGTGTTGAGCCTCACAGACTACTTGTAACATTTGTTATATAAAATTTTTCAGTAAGGTTTTTTCAACAGATTGCACAAAGCCCAGTGTTATATTAGCAGAACTAAAGGAAACAAGAAGAGGAGAGGAGAATACAACAGTGGACAGCTAGTGTATTTAAAAAATAAAAAATTCCTTATATCTCCCCTCTGACAACTGTATTTTCAGCTACAGTAAGGCATAAATGTGAACGCTTATGCTACTCCATGCAGCATGTGGACTGTGCTGGTAGATAGTCTAAGCTTTTGAACTGCTAGCCTACCTAGTTTGGAAGTGATGCAAGATAACCAAAACAAGCAAAGTAGTCAGTCTTGTCCAGAAACTGAGAATTTCTGCCATGAGCTGGACTATGAAGACAGAGATAAAATTACTGTCTATTTATAAACTTATCTGACAAGTATTGATCCGATTTCAAATAATGGTATTTCAAAAGAGAGTTTGCCTATAGCAAACTTTAAACGCCATTCTCAGCTTTATATATTCCAGAGAAAAATCTAAAGCTGAAAGGTAAAATGTCTTATCACTGACAGAAAAAAGACTTCAGTATCCCAGATGGCAGCTTGCAGGCTTTCCTAATACGTGGAAGTCCCAGAGCTCTTTCTATAAATATCTAGGACCATATGTTCCTACATCACTGAAACATCAGTAAACTCTTTCCATAGAATCATAGAATGGCTAGGGTTGGAAAGGACCTTAAGATCATCTAGTTCCAATTTCCCTGCCATGCCTCCCATGCACCCTACCCCTATACTTTTTCTGTTACTTCCCTTTGGAAAACTGGGACAGTAGCATCATAGTAAGGACATCCAAAAAATCCAAGGCAAGGAAGTGTAGACAATAAGATCTGTACTCTATGTCTACCCAGCTCAACATTTGGCACAGTATTCTTTCTTCATAGTGCTTGTTATGGACTGATTGATGCTGGGGTCAAGTCTAGGAGGACATGAAATGGTATTTAAAGCATAGATTTGCTAAACAGTGCTGCTGCCAGACCTGCCTTGCTGCAGGAGCACCCAAACTGCTTTCTGTGCTCACTGTTCCTTCAGAAGGCTCTGTGCAGCACCTTTAGCCCATAATCTGTTTCTGTCCTCACTGGGCCAGAGGCTGGGCTTTCCATTCTGACTTTTTTCAGGTAAATTATAGTTGGTTTCCCTGGTATTTTGTGGGAATTATGACTACATGTAGGAAGCTTGCAATTTAGTCCCATGAAAATAACTATGGAGAAAATACAAAGGAATGCATTACTTACGTAAAACTCTAAACAGAGTTAATTCTTCAGATAGAATCAGAACTCTGTTAGTTATATTTGACGAATCACTGTTTTTATGGTAGAGGGTCAAATCCTTTTCCTAATCCCGTACAGTCTTTCTGTACTGGAACGTAGAACTGCATTCTTCAATTGATATCAGAAACTTATTCCTCAAGGAAGAAGTTTGATGGAGAAGGCACTGAACAGAATGTAATTCCTAAGTTAGTCACAGACTGCCTGTATGAATTTGGGCAAATTACTCTAGGTAGTGTCTTTTCTTCGGCAGCAGAAAATAATAGCATTTTCCCACTGCCTGGAAATACTGAAGAGCTACCCATTAAGGTGGCATGCAGGGACATAAACCCTAGTGTTGTGAGACAAAGGGTTATTAACACGCAAAAGATTGTTTCTCTGTCCTTATCTTTAAGCATCCTATTGTTTCACATATGTAAAGTTTCCTTAATCCATATTAACAAAATCCTCTGTGTGCTCAAATCCCCTGGGCACTAGTTGAAGTCATAATACAGCTTCTGACTGCTTGTTCCTTGTAATAATACTTACCTCTGCCTGACTTTAATTGTCAAGCCCTAGTGTTGCATAAGTATTTCCACCTGGATTAATGTAGGAAAAAAAAAATCCAAGGGGAGCTCCCCTTCAAATACTAATGGATCTTTCTACCCTCCCACTGAACCTGGAATCATGGGCAAAACATTAAAAAATATGAGTAACATTGGAATGGTTCAGTCTAAAGGTCCAGGTCACACAAAAACACCATTACATTTTTTTGCTGGCAGCTACAGAAGTTTGCTATTAGGAGGCAGAGAAATTAAATTGCACTTTGGGTGGACGTTACTAATTTCTTGTGCTATCATTCCATCTCCTTGCCTATTCTGAGTATGAACCAAGAAGCTTGTCTCTGATATTAGCAGCCCAGAATTTGTTCTTACCAAGATAATTTAATTCTTTTTATCAGTTACTCTTTTTAGAGAGGCAGCAGGCCTCAGGATGAAACTGGGGACGGCATTGCTCTTGCATCTAGCTGCAGTACAGTGTCTGCTCTCAAAGCAGCTGTGGTTGGAGACTGTGCCAATGTGTTTTGCCATAATAGGCTTCTTAAACAATTTATGTTATCAAAAAATGTTGAGATATGCTCTACTAGCTATAGAAGGCATCTGAAAATCAAGAAATGCTGGACTTGAAGATTAATTTCTGCCAGACTCATTCTATGTATCATTAGGCAGGCTATTTATGACTCTGAAGTCAACTGGTTTCTGTTGACTTTAGCTGGATTTATCATTGAACATCTAAATAGCCAACACTAATCTCTGCCTCAGTTATTGTACAATATAGTAATTCATGCCTGCCTCCTGCAATATTGTGGGACTTGTATACATAATTTTATCAATCTGCTTTGAGATCCTTTGAATTTATAATTATGTTATAATTATTCAGACTTCTGATGAGATAGTTCAAGCCTCCACAATTCCACATTTTATAGCAAATAAATTCAAAAGGATAATAATGAAATTGAAGTGAAATAATGGAATAATGAAATTCTTCTAGGACTTTGGGACACGTTTCCTTGTTATTACATGGTGTAATCTTTCCATCATCACAAGCCAAAGCAAAATCAAATCAGTCAAAGCTTTCCCTGAGATGCTTTGGCAGACTGAAAGTTAACTCATTTTCAGATTGATTTAAATATGAAATTGAATTAGCCAAGCTAAAAATACTTCTGCAGTACTGCACTGGTGGAAAGCACTGAACATTTTTTTTGCCAAATAGAAAGAATGGACAGCAAACTCTGAGAAAATTATAACCCATTTTTTGCTGTTGCCATGGAAACATAGCTACAAACACTTGTGTTTAGACTGTACAGTCCTCATGAAATACAGCTTGTCAGTTGTTTTTATAAGATATAAACCCTTTCGACTCCATGGATGCAGAACAGTTCCTAACAAGGAGAAAGGAGAAGGTGACTGTTACAAATGAGATATATGCAGTGCCTCATCAGTCCTCAAAATAACAAGGCAAAGCCATTATGAAGGCCTCATTCTAATTTAAACATCCATTTGTTTATGCTAACATTAATGTGTTTCTTGGGTGATTTTGTTTAGATTCTGTGCCTTTTAACCCATATGACTGTACTCCCAAAGTATGTGGTTACATGCAATGTAACTCAGTCCCTCGCTGCATTACTTGCTTTGCTATGAGGAAAGACAGTACAATCTCTAATCCTTGTTTAAAATGAGATTGTTATTTTAAGTGACCTTTTCCTACCCCTTTTGCATCTTTGCATGCCTGAGGGATTCCCTTTGGAGTTCTAATAAATAGAGCAGCAGGCTTTACTCTGTGTATTCGACAGCCCTGTGTTCCTGTTAGTGCTCAAACAGTGCAAGCTGAACAGGCAGTTATAGTTGGAGTTATAAACTAGGAAAATACAGCACTGATTTTAAGTATTTCTAGGAAGGTGAAAGTGTGGAGTTTAGCCTTTCAGGGGAAAAAAAGAAAGTGTTTACATGTCCAAAACACAGGCATGTAAATGACTTCACCTTCATGTTAATGAAATGCACTTTCATCAGCTGTCACTCAAAGATCATATGGCAGAGATGCATTTCTGATCACCTAATTAAAATTCGTCTATTGCCATAGACATTTCCAATGTGCAGCACAGTAAATCTGCTCTTTGGAACAAACCTGCGATCACAGCAGCATTTCTGCAGATGCACAAGAAAAGACTGAATTTAATGGGATTATTCATAAACCTAAATTATCACTGATTTGCTGTATCAAAGACAATGTTCCTAACCCAAAGGAATTACCCAGAGTAGATGTAAAATTGCAGGGGAAACTCATCTTGTTGAAGTTGAATGATTTTGAAAATCTGGATGTCCTGACACCTTGGAAATGATCTGTGGATAACTCACATTCAGGACTTCTGGAGCAAAATGGCACCTGGAGTTACCTAGTTGTTTTCCTCAGTTGTGATTTCCACTGTTGGTAAGGCACAATGTCCTAGAGACTGATTCCTCAAATCTCTGAGTTGCACAATTAGATGATAATTGCTGAACTGGCCTGTGTCTTGCACAGAGCTGTCTACAAATAAGAGAAACTCATCAAAGACGTAATTCTTTTGAAAAAGCATGACAGCTGGTCTAGAAACATGAAATTAAGCTCACTCTTGTTAATTGCTGCTAAATAATTAGAGCCACTACTTTGCTACAGGCATATTTCTGTATTCTTGGTTCTGTGTATTTGTCTGTATTTGTTTACTGAGGGTTACTGCAAATGGTAGTAAGGTGGTGGACATGATACCTCTGCTGAGCCTGCTAGAAGAGAAGAATCTGGGACTCTTCTGGGACAGTTCTGTACCTATTTTCCATGATACTTGTGTGTCTTTCAGAGGCTTATAATGATTGTATTGATCACTTGTTGCTGATTATCCTGGGTTACTGGCTGCTAAGTCTTCACTTTAAGGTGACGGTAGCATCTGCTGCTGGAAAAGAAATGAAGCATTGCCAAGAAAACTTCTGCAAGCAGCTTTCAATGAGAGGTGCCAGAAAAGCGAAACACAGTTTCTGGGCTCTGAGGGGAGAAAACTGGTCTGCTGAGGGATAAATGGAGTATGTAGGTAAATGAGAGACAGCCACTGTAGATATGATACAAATCTTGTTCTAGGCAATGCTGTGACCTGTTTTCACTATCACTTACCTGAGGTGACATTTGTTTTGATATCATTGTGACTATGCACCATAAAGCATGGAACACTACTTCGTTATTGCAGTCAATTGTGAGGAAAGCCTTTCAGAAGTTTAATTTAGGAAAGTTCCCCCTTCCCATTTCCAGTGGAGGGGTCCATTCAGGGAAGCTAATTTAGCTACACCAGCTTCTAAATCCTTAGGCACCAGGCATCCTGATCTGCCTGCTGTGCCAATGCTGTGGGTGTTACTGTCTAACACTGGACAGAGATGATGTCAAGCTGACTCATAATGACCAGTGTTTCCTTGATGAGGACAATTCAGACTGATAACTCCAGCAGGTTGCCACTGAATTACAGGCTGCCTCCTACTTTATGCTCTGTATGGCTTTTCTGTGAGCAGAAGGTAGCCCTTCCCAAACTGCTCTGTATGGACCTTTCCTCTAATTGCAGAGTTTTGCTGGATTACCTTCCGGCTTCCTCTGTACAAGTCATCTCATTGAAAGGAGTCAGGAGTATCAGGAATGGGAGGGGTTGTAGGACTTACGATGTATTAAAAGACCCTGGCAGGGGGGGTGCTGATTTATCTTTGAATGTTCTTTCCTCGTACATTTCTGATGAGCTCGTGATGCAGCTTTCCGTAATGATTCTGTAGTGACTAATACCTGAAAGCCATAGAAATTTCTCTGAACTCTAGAATGAGAGAAGATGTGCTCTTCTGTTATCATGAAGGAGGCAGAGGATGGTTTTGCTTTTATATCAGAGAGGGTGAGATATATATCATGTTGCTGTGTCAGTACAAAAGTAATAGCAGCCATGAGAGAGAAATTAGGAAAGCCTGCTATTTTTCAATCTCTTTACCCAAAACAGAGTTATCTGGGTGAAGTTTTTCACTGTTAAACTGTTCCTGGAACAAAAGAAATCAACTGAATGACAGCTGTATTTTAAACATCAGAGGAAAAGTATTAGACTAGAAGGCTCAAAAAAATCTGATGTCATCTGAACCTTTCTTTTTGGAGTTTGTTTCTTAATTTGACACATATTTTTAGTGATAGTTTAAGCAACCTTCATCTAATCTAAGAAACTAGCTGTCCAGATTGGTTATTGTTCCTGGCTGTTATTCTGACCTTAGCCTTTATCTAAAACGTAAGCAAGGACTTTGTTAAATGATGTCCACCAGCTGTTTTCCAGGGGAAATACTCTTCACCCATTTCCATGAAAACACTTAAAATTACTGTCACAGCTTTAAGTTTGTTTTTAAGTGCCCTTCCCATTATGGTGGTGAGCCTTACATAGCATTTGGAAATGTAAAAATAAGTCAAAAATACATTCAGGAGCAGAGTTGAATTTTTAATTTTGTAATTAAATAATTCTTCATGCTATTTCATGAAGAATATGGAGAAGTGACCAGGAATGCACCTCTGTGTGCTGTCCTAACACAGTACAGTAAGGTACATTTAAAGAAAACATTGTAATCTGTGTTAGCTTCGTAAAATATGATGTTCCATAATTGCTTTGGAGTTGCCATGTTCTACTGCAGTATTTCCAGGAGATTTTTCTCTGCATAAAATGGCATTTGCAAAATGTTTAAGGTAGGAGAGCCCATTAAAGCCCAAGGTAAGACATTCATTCTCCAGTGAGTATAGCATGTGATTAAAATTTCTCAAGCTAGATGCTCTGTTTGCAGTGGGCAGACAGTCTTTGCAGTCTCTCTTGAAACATTTGACATTATTAATTTTTTGTATTCTTTTTTAAGAAAGTATTTTTTCCCTGGGTCGTTCTGTTCCCTTTTTCCTGCTGATGCAAAATAATAACGCACATTTAACGTAATTCCAAGTTATGGGTTTAAAAAATATAGATTTACTTAATCCCCTACCCATATGTACTGACTTCTTTAGTTACAGTCTCCAAAATTTTCTATGACTGTTACATTAACATGGACTTAGTCTTTTGAGAATCTTTAATGAAGTACACAATGACTGCAGGCACACAAAATGGACTTCAAAAAGACCTTTCACTGCACTACAAAAAACCCTAATCCAACCTGTCATTAATGGTGATGCATTGTGTGGGTGTACACAAAGCATCAGGCGGTGTTTTTCCAGGATAACAATTTGCACATTCTCAGTGTACTTCATAATCTGCAGACACAGAAAAAAAGAAAAATCATCTGTAAAATGAAACTTTGCATCTTGGAATTTACTCACAAAACAACTGAAGGTAGAGAGTCATCAGGGGCAGCGGCATCTTGTGGTGGGTGTTTTGGGATCATTATTAGAGTTGGCTGCTCTGTGCCAAAGTGTTATATTTCTATTGCTTAGGTAACTTAAAATCAGAACTGAAAGCCTGATGGAAAATCTTACATCAGATATTACTAAAGGGCCATCTTTTCATATAAAACCAAAAGGTTCCATGGTATGGCAGCTGCTGTGTTGTATGCTTTTGTTTCTTTATTACATATTAATTTGGTTATTCAGATTTTTATCAGTGAAAAAAAAAGTTCTAGTGGAAGGTGTCCCTGCCCATGACAGGGGATTGGTACTAGATGATCTCTAAGGTCCCTTCAACCCAAATCAGTCTGTGATTCTATGATTCTTTTTGTGTTAACAGCACCTAAACAGCTCTCCTAACCTAGAGCTTATTCCTAGTTCTAAAAAACCCAGTACAGCCTCAAGCCTCTAAAACATAATTTTGTTTAGTTCACATGCTTGTCTGCATTGAACATGGTCTCAAAATAGAGAACTGACTTCTGTTTCCTAAGGCTTAAGGTCTATAATTTTCCAAACACTTCAATACAAAACAAGAGAGAACTGCCCAGCTGTATCTTACCTTTTACAGATAAAGAAATAGCTCATGTCCTTGAATCCATCTGGAATGTATGATCTGAAGTTTGGCTTGAAGGCTGTATGAGGATGTTATGCTGTATCTCAGCATTTGATGTGGAAGGGTGCTGTGATTTAACCTCAGCTGGCAGCTAAGCATCACAGAGCCGTTCCCTCACACCTCCCCAGTGACCAGTGGAGTGGGGAAGAGAGCTGCGGGGAAAGAGTGTGAAGTAGACAACAGATTTATGGATTAATTATAGGGGCCAAGACCTTATTGGTCTAATTCAGTCAGCTTCCCTGATATGAACGATGTACATTCTTTTCTTTCTATATTTTAATACAGTGTTGCTTAATTATTCAAAATAAAACCTACTTGGAAGTAAATATTCCAGTGTTTACATTTGTATGTGCATTAAACAGATCTTAAATCACTTTTGTGTCCTACACTAGAGGTGGTTGTCTTTATGGTCAAAATATAGCCAAACTCTACCTTTGTTTCTGTGCCAGTGTAAGTGGGATTTTCTAGACACAGTGGAAAACTTTCATGGGTTCGTTGCTAATGCAATCGTGTAGCATTTGGTAAATGTAAATTGAATGGTGGTGTCAGGATCATATGGTTTGACATGCGTGGGGAATCCCAAAGGACCTGCTAATTGCTTGGTCAAAAATGTGTATCTCTTCTCATGAGGGATAGTAGAGATCCAACAATGTTTTTCAGAACCATCCTGAAGAGTAAGCATTAAGAAAGCCTCTAATTCCCATTTGTATCCCCATTTGTATGAAACTGGAGACAAGCCATGTTAAGGGTTAACATTTGGAACAGTAGTAATATTTAGAAAAGAGCTTAGGAAAGTGCTGTTATATTAAATGTCAGAAATGTAGCACTACGGATTGTAACACTGTTTCTACATCTACTTTTTCTTTGTTCTCAAGAATTTTTGTTAGATTGGAGCAAATGACAAGTACCCATTAAAACTCATTCAGCCTTCACACTATGAATCCTTCTGCTTCTGTGGCATGAAGTAACTTTTGCCTTTCTTATAAACATATGGAAATGCTCAGCAAACCTTTTATAACATCTACAATAGGATGAATATTGCTTTTAAAAAACACCTTCTGAGACATGATGCAGAGCAGCATGACCAATGCAGGCAAAATGTATATATCGAGGAAACCATCATGCTGAGGACAACAAATTATTTGAGACAGAAAAAACTTTCTTGTGATTAATCAAGGATCTTATTCTCTGGCTTACACCTCATTTTCATCAGTATAATAAGACAGAGTTTAGTGGAGTTATTTGTGAATTATAGCAATGTGAGAAGAATATAATACCAAATAGGTCATATTCTCTGCTTATTTTTGCCTCACATCCTGACTGCCTGGCATCTGTGCTGGCTTTAAAATGTTTCCTGTTTCATGTAGGAGCTTTTTATACTGTTTGTACTTGCTGTGTAAGGGAGAGGAAAATTAATCGCAGTCTAAATTAAATCCATATGGGATGCATTTAGATATGACTAAGAAGACCCCTAAAAATATGTTAACTAACACACTTTAAAAGTATATTGTGAAGAAAAGAACATTTTAATATGTGTTTGCAGGTCAAGGAGATCTGTAGATTGAGTGCCTTTACAAGATCACATCAAGGAAACAGCATATTTTCTTGTCTATCACCACTCCAGTCTTTGGCCATGTCCATTACGTGTTTGTTACCTAAGGTGTTTGCAGGTCAAGATGATCTGTAGATTAAATGCCTTTACAGGATCGCCTCAAAACAACAGCATATTTTCTTGTCTGTCACCACTCCAGTCATTGTCAATGTCCATTATGTGTCACCTAAAGTGGTCTAAAACAACTTTTTCTTTTCAGTCCACACACATTCGTGTTGTAAACCCTGTTGAGAAGTAAAATACAATTAACCTGATTTTGTTCCTTTTTGGAATTAGTAGACCACAAGCAGATACAGAACTAGTTTAATAGACCTTTTTGTCGGGAAGCTGGGCAAATCTCTTAATTTTCAGAACATTTCCAAAACATGAGTGACTTGCCCTTTGAGGACTGTTTGAAGCATTATTGCTCATATGCTCATCAGATGATTCCCAGCTACAAGATATTACAGAAGAATGGACAAGCTCAAGAAGCTTGAGAATTTTCTTTTGATTTCTGACTTGTGTCCTGAAGATTTACATTTACATCTTCCCCATTTCTCGGACAAGCAGAATAATTTTAACATAAAGACTTATGTACACTAGCATCTTAAAAACTAGCCAAACAAGGTTTAACTATTTCACCCTATATGAAGAGCCTGAAATCTCCTCTACTTCCACATTAAAATACTGTCTCCTTCTGACTACGTTTGACTAAGCAGTACCATTTGCTGTTCAAAAATATGTTGGGAAGTTTATCT